CTAGTGAGCAACCTTACCTATCAACATCAACTAAAAAATTGACTACAAAATTGACACGTAAAAAGTTCTTCAAATTAGAAATAGAACAAATCAATGTCTAGTAAGGATCAGATGATTTCAGTGTGCACTCCTTTTTAGAAGAATGCAGGAAAGTAAATGTTGATGTTGTCTTTATGCAAGAAGTTTGTCGACTTGTTTGTGATTCTATTACACATTTGGGATTCAATTTATTTTGGACTGGCCCCAAGGAGAAAAGAGAACATGGAGTTGAAATTGCAATACGCAAATAACCAGATATTGTAATAAACAGTATTGTACACCAGTCAGAAAGACTGATGGTTGCCGCCATTGTTGTTCATGGCTGTAAGATCTGAGAAGTAGCAGTTTATGCCCCAACTGAAAAAGTGTTGTCGCAGAAAAAGTGACATTCTACAGAGGATTGAGTAAAATTTGTATGTTAGGAAAAACTGCTCCTTTGATGGTAAGAAAACATCACTCTTTGAAATAGAAGCCTCAAACAACAATAGAGAACTCTTGCTAAACTTTTGTTACTCAAAGAGATACCTCATCCTTAACACATGGTTTGATCATCCCAGGAAACATTACATCACATGGCATAACCCAGATAATGTTGATTCACTAGCAATAACAACCAAAATGGATAGCACATGTAACTTGAAGTAAAAATAATAAAAAATAATCATAATGTTGACATTCCACACAACTTTAAACAAAAGGTTAGGAAGGAAACCCCATCAATACTGAAAAGAGTAAGAACAGCCACTGGACATGTAAAATATATTTTCATAAAAAAATGTTTTAAGAAAAAAGATTTTATAAATTTCAACTGAAAGCCATACTGGCTGCTCAGTCAATGAATGCCAAATGTCTCCTTTTAGAGAAACGGCTAATATTACAGTTAGCATTAAACTATAGGAAAATGTTGCAAGAAAATATATTATTCAGACTCACCTTTATTGCCATATTCACAATGTTTCGGCTCCTGTATGCTTCCACCTTCTTCAGGTGATATATGTTGGTATTACGAACCAAACGCTTTATTTAGTCCACAGGGGTAAATTGTTCTAATTCCATGTGCCATGCCTTTTCTGGATATCTCAGTTTCAGTCATTTCCCTTTAGTAACTCAACTCCCCAAGATTTTGTTCCTCTTGGACATGTGTCCACAAGGACAAAAGTGTTTGGTATGAAATTCCAATGTAAATCACTTGGAGAAGGCTGGAGTTTACGAAACATCATGAATATGGTAATAAAAATAAGGATAACAGTCTGAATGATATAAATAGTGTAAATAGTTACAATACCTCATCTCAGAAATATAGACAGATGTTAAAGAAAATATATATCAAATGAATAAAAAATAAAGAGAAAATTAGTTTTTTAAAGTGTAGTTCATATGCTTATTTTCGCTTTAATTATGTACAAAAATATATATATAAATGACATTTTAACTCTTTTAGATTAAAAAAAATAAAGAAAAAGGGAAATAAAACAAATTTTAGTTTCTGATACTCTTTGAAAATACTCGTTTAGAGATACTCGTTGAAGCATTCTATGCACAATAGTGATGTGCATTCTTTGTACCAAGTTATCAGTTTTTGCCACTTTTCTTTCTTTGGATTGTTCTTCCAACTTTATTTGCAGGCAAATACTCCTCACAAATTCCAGTTAATAATATACTCACGAACCTTAGAGTTGCCAAGCAGTCATTTAGACTTGAACCATGAATAAATGAGCCCACACATGTTATTGGGAAAAGCTTAAATCATGAGTTGATGAATATATTGTGATCTCAACTAAAACATTAATTTTAAGGATTAACAAGAGTAGCAGGAGTTAAAATTAAAAATGGGCATTGCCTATGGTATATTGGGCTGCAAACAGATTTTGAATGACATGGTCAATAGTTTTGTAGACACTGGATAGCAGTGTCCTGAAAAGGACAGTTTTCTAATCGCTTGGAGACTGTTGTCCTGAAAAGGACAGTTTTGTAGTCTCTGGAAAGCATTGTTCTGAAAAGGACAGTTCTGTAGTCTCTGGAAAGCATTGTTCTGAAAAGGAAAGTTCTGTAGTCTCTGGAAAGCATTGTTCTGAAAAGGACAGTTTTGTAGTCTCTAGAGAGCATTGTCCTGAAAAGGACAGTTTTGTAGTCTCTAGAGAGCATTGTTCTGAAAAGGACAGTTTTGTAGTCTCTAGAGAGCATTGTCCTGAAAAGGACAGTTCTGTAGTCTCTGGAAAGCATTGTTCTGAAAAGGACAGTTTTGTAGTCTCTGGAAAGCATTGTTCTGAAAAGGACAGTTCTGTAGTCTCTGGAAGGCATTGTTCTGAAAAGGACAGTTTTGTAGTCTCTAGAGAGCATTGTCCTGAAAAGGATAGTTCTGTAGTCACTGGAAAGCATTGTTCTGAAAAGGACAGTTTTGTAGTCTCTGGAAAGCATTGTTCTGAAAAGGACAGTTCTGTAGTCTCTGGAAAGCATTGTTCTGAAAAGGACAGTTCTGTAGTCTCTGGAAAGCATTGTTCTGAAAAGGACAGTTTTGTAGTCTCTAGAGAGCATTATCCTGAAAAGGATAGTTCTGTAGTCACTGGAAAGCATTGTTCTGAAAATGACAGTTTTGTAGTCTCTGGAAAGCATTGTCCTGAAAAGGACAGTTCTGTAGTCTCTGGAAAGCATTGTTCTGAAAAGGACAGTTTTGTAGTCTCTAGAGAGCATTGTCCTGAAAAGAACAGTTTTGTAGTTGCCAAAGGGGAGTGGGGCAAGGTTGGTGCTCACTGACTATCCCAAACTTAGCTAATCTAATTTGTGACCCATTCATTCATTATCATTCATCTGACATAAGCCACAATACCCCATATTCAAAGGGGGAGGGGCCTACTAAATAACACCCATGGCAAACATTTTTTCCAATATATATCTTCTGTTTTTATAAAAATATATATAACTATATTGCATGAAATGAAGTGTGAGGTGATGAACACAATAACAAAAATAAAATACAACAAAACATTCAAACTAAAAATAAAATATATGAGTAAGACCTATCAACCCCACTGAAAAAATTGAGAATGGCTACTGTAATCTGCTGATAGGCAAAATCAAGACACTCACTCACTAAAGGTGAGGGAAAGAAAAAATAAACTGTGGAGAAGGAAAATCAAAAGCTGAGCCAGTCAAGATAAAAAGAGGGAATAAAAAAGAAACTAGAGGGGTTTGGAACCTTGACATTGATCATAACAAAAGGGAATGCCAAGATCAAGCCAGGAACAACAATTACTCATTGACAAACAAAGAGTCTAGCTTAACCAGGGGATGGAATCCACCAGGAAACTGCACCATTGTGTCAAAAAGAGTACTAAAAAAGAAGATCAATATGATAAATATTAAATGAGTACTAAAAAGAAAGATCAATATGATAAATACTAAATGAGTATTAAAAAGAAAGATCAATATGATAAATATTGAATGAGTACTAAAAGGAAGATCAATATGATAAATATTGAATGAGTACTAAAAAGGAAGATCACAGCTGGCCTAATTCATTGTGAACTAAGCTTTAATATTGACCTACCTTTTGTTGAAATCAGCCGATAGCTTTCTATCAGTTCTGATCTTCATCTTGAGCTGATGCTGAAAGAATCCAGCCACTGATAGACATACTTTACGATACCTTTGAAGTACCTATAGTTAAAACTAATATTACAATACAACACTAGGGTAAGCGAAAATGAAATTCAACTGAAACGTTGGAAGTGGATCCATGTTGGAAGAGTTATTGACAAAAAGTGCACATCTAAAAAGGTGATTGTTGTGGAGATGAACATACCTCACCAGAATATGACTTGGACTCATCCAAATAGCATATACTTTGACATTGAGAATCGTCAGGAGAAAGCTAGCCAGGAGTGAGACTTATATCCTTACTAGAGAATTCAGTAAGACTATGTCAACTCCAAGCAACATTATATTTCATGATTGTGTTGTGTCTTCATTCAATGGAATGAAAACCTCACAGTTCCTTAAATGAAGAAAATGTGCTCATTAATTTGAAGAACTCTTGGAAAGAAAATGACACTTTTCAAAATTATAGAAAGTTCCTTAAAGATAATGCGTTCAATAACCTGAAAAACTATTCTCAAAATTCACTGCAAACATTTTTCTGAAGAAGCCTATTGAATGTATTAGCTGAAAGGTTAGGGAAACAATGAAAGGATGAATTTAACTATAATGACATTTTACAGTTAGGCAATCATTATCACTCATCCTACATTGAAAAAACTTATCTCAAAATATCAAAAAATACAAAATATTTTATTCTAGAAAAATGTTATCTTTCTCGTATCTCTCATCAAGCAATTTCTGCACTAGAAACCATACTAAATCACAGTTTAATGATCAGTTAACATGTGACTGATTACAAAAGAGACAAAAAAGTTTCTTTAAAAATCTGCTGGTTAAGAAAGTGCTTTTATTGAGGCTGTCTACCGTTCGGAAAAATTTAGCCAAAAAAAAAAAAAAAAGAAACCAAAAAAAAAAAGAAGTAGAATTCAAGGAAAATGCTATTTGTGAAAATTGGTAACAAAATCACATTATGCAACCATCATTGAAAGAAAGCAAAAAATTTAGGGAAATAAACTGGATCAAGAAAACAAAAACTAAAAATAAAACAATGTAATGCTGAAGGCTGCGGAATTGAAAATTTGATTATTCAAGACAAAAGATCGTTGTCAGGCAAATTTTAATTTTATAGAATCTGGTTCTTCAGTTTCATTAAAAAAAAAGAAATACACACACACACACACACACACACACACACACACAAAAAAAAGAAAGACATTCTGAAGGAATATTACTTTATTTATGTTTCTATTGAGGATAAAATGTTATTGGAGAAGTTACTGCATCAGTTCAGCAGTGAAGTATGAGACAGAATGGTATGATCATGCGAGAAATTATAAAAAAGAAAGAAATGAAGAAAGAAGGATTCAGAGAAAAAGAAGAAACATGAAAAAAAGGAAGTAGAGAAGATTGTTAAGAGGGAAGGGATTAAGAAGAATGAAAGATGAGATTGAAAAAGGAAGGAAGAAACAAAAAAAGAAGAAGAAAAAGAGAAGGGATGAAGAAAAATGAGATAGAAAAAAGGAGGAGAAATGAGAAAGAGTAGAACAAAATGAAACACGAGATGCAGCAGAGAGAAATTCAAATGAGAGAAGAGAGAAATGAAAATGATGTGGAGGAGAGAGAAGAAAAGGAAAAGCGGATGTATAGAAATGATAAAGAGAAGAAAGAGAAATGAGGAGAAGGTAGAGGAGAGAAAAAGAAAAGAACAAGAAGTGGACACAAAGAAAGAGAAGAATAGAAATCAGAGAGACTGATTGGTTGATTTGATTTTTAAGCTCATCAACTTTTGTTGATTATTTAAAGGTGAAACATATTTCATATTTGTCTATATTTTGCAGGAAGTATTTTAATTATCTACACTATTTACATTGTTTGGACACTTGTCCTCATCTTTATTGCCATATTTACCACGCTTTGGCCACTCAGCATTCTGGCCCACTTCATGATCTCTCTCTATTTCTGAGATGAGATATTCTATTTACACTATTTACATTAGTTGGACTATTGTCCTCATCTTTATTGCTATATTCACAATGTTTCAGGTGATTAAAATTTTGAACTAAACTCTTTATTTTGTCCACTGGGGTAGGTTATTCTATTTCCATGTGCCATGCCTCTTCCAGATGTCTCAGTTATCTCCTTTAAACTCAACTCTCCAAGTTTTTGTTCACCACTGCAGTAGCCAGGTATTGAACTTACAACTCTTTGGGTCAAGTCGCTGGATCCAACCAACACTTTTATCCGCTGTCCTTGAGGACATCAGTGTATGAAGTTTTGGGACTGATAAACTTAATGTCTCAGTAACCAGAAAAACAATAATAACAACAAAAATTGCAATATAAGCTCTGGTAAAAAACGGTTGCTGAGACATTAAATTCAAATCACCTGAAGAAGTCCGAAGATTAAAACAGCCGAAATGTTGTAAAAATGACAATGAGGATGAAGACAACAGTCCAAATATGGCAATGAGGATGAAGACAACAGTCCAAATATGGCAATGAGGATGAAGACAACAGTCCAAATATGGCAATGAGGATGAAGACAACAGTCCAAATATGGCAATGAGGATTTCATATTGTAGGAGATTGCTTACAGTACCCAGTATTTCCAAGTGGTCTACCATATGGGGGTCAGTCAAAAGTCTCAAGTCTCACCTAGAAAGAATTGGAGAAACAAGACAGTTTTTCATGATTTTTTTTTTAATATAGTCACCCTAGACATCAATACACTTGATCCAACGATGCTTAAGCATTGCAAGCTCATCATGAAAGAAGGTGACACAGCACATATAATCTCATCATCATTTCCAAAATGTCGATCACAGGTGTGTTATCCTGGAGCAAGAGCACACATGCTCTCAACTTCTCTCTATGCTTTGGCTTGATTCCTTCCTTCAGTTGACTTAATTCTGATTCATAGTACTGTCCCCTAATATATTTTTCCTTTTCCAGGTAATCTATCATGATTGCACCTTCAGAATCTGTTGTGGAGAGAGTTCATAGTGGAGGCTTGTATTTGTACTGTCAGTCCTAAAATAGGTTCGATGTACAAAATGTTAGGAACTTGATATAATACGTATAACGCAGAGTAATCTAATCTAGTTGTGGTCGCTGATAGTTTAGTATTCGACTAACTGTCGTCTGGCATCGACTGACTGACCGACCTACTGAGTGACTCCCACGTTACTCTTACTACCCCTACTTCTTATAGGTGGGAGAGTCTATTAACTATAGAATAGGTGTGTTCCACTATAACAGAATCCCCCCCCACAAAAAAAACAGAAGCCATTACATTGCCAACAGATACTGCCTGAATGAACGTCTTTGGGGATAGAGAAGGAGAGTAATTCCACTGTTTGCTTTGAATCTTTGATTCAGGTTGAAAGTGGTGAACCCAGGTTTCATCTTAAGTTACTAATCTGTGGTGGAAATTCTCAGGGTCAGCCTGGAAGCAAGTCAAAAGTATCCTGGAAATGTCAGCCCTTTTCAGCTTCTGCTCTGGTGTCAGCATTCTTGGGACCCATCTTGCAGACAGCTTGCTCATCCCTAAGATCTCAGTTAAAACAGAATGGACCAAACCAGAACTAATGCATAGAGACTTCATTATCTGCTGGACAGTAAGATGTCTGTCATCCAAAACCATACTGGGAATGGTGACAACTTCTTCATCAGTGGTTGAGGTTTTAGGATAACCTGGTGGAATTCCGTGCTGTCTCTGCTCCACTTGAAAAACGCAGCACACATACTCACAGTTGCATAGGAAGGGGAGTCCAGCAAATATCTGTATCATGTCCTCAAAGATTTCTTTGGGGGTAATACCTATTTTACAGGTATTTTATGATTGCTCAGGCCTTTGTTTTGTCCATTTTTAGATTTGTTGCACATCTCTCAACTTGCTATGAGCCTCACCTGAACAAAAATTAAGATAGAAATCTGAATTAGTCTTTCTAAATTCATAAAAAGTGGTAGTCTGTTGGTACAAAATAAATGATCAGCTATGGCTCATCTTTCTGGGTAAGGCTTAGAACTTTTTGAATAACTCTCATATATGCACTGAAAGGGCTTAATGCTGCTTAACTATGGTGATCAAATGGGAACCAATGTTGTCAGAGTGATTTGACCAGAGACTGAGAGGAAGAGAAATAATGAATATGAGATGAAGGAGAGGGAAGGGAGAAGTGAAATGAGACAGAGGAGAGAGAAAAATGGACAAGAGAGAAGAAAAGGAAGAGGAGAATAGAAGAGAAAGGAGTAGAAAAATGAGCATGATGTACACAGAGGAGAGAAAAGAAGACAAAAGAAGAGAAATAAGATAAAGGAGAAAAGAAAAAGAAGGAAAAGAGAGGGGGGAATGAGAAGAAGGAAAATTAAAAGAGAGGGGGAATGAGAAGAAGGAAAATTAAAAGAGAGGGGGGAATGAGAAGAAAGAAAATTAAAAAAGAGGGGGGAATGAGAAGAAAGAAAATTAAAAGAGAGGGGGGAATGAGAAGAAGGAAAATTAAAAGAGAGGGGGGAATGAGAAGAAGAAAAATTAAAAGAGAGGGGGGAATGAGAAGAAGGAAAATTAAAAGAAAAGAAAAATAGAGAAAAAGCATTAATTGATTCGTTTTCTATGACTTATCAACTCTTTCCAGTTTATTTAAACTCAGGAATTTTTTTCAGATTGTATGAATTTTTTTTTTGAGGTAATAATGGTTTTAATGATACAAGTTCTACTATTTAGCCCATAGCTGGTGAGAATAGTTGAATTCATACCTTTCCCAAATGTATTTGCAAATTAGTGAATATAATGAACCCAATGGGAATTGGAACTCAGCTCTCCGATTAACAATTCAGAACCATTATCCATTATACCACCTGCACATCCAAGGATCCAAGGTTACAGTACCTGGTTCTCCCAAGCAGTCACTCATCTAAGTACTGAGCAGGATCATTGTTGCTTAACTTCATTTATTGTGGAGGTGGGGAATGGAGAAGAGGGAGAAAATATGAGAAACAAACTCTGCTTAAAGAAGAGAGGGGGAAGAAAGTTGCCAATGGGTGTAAGAAAATACGATAGGTATTAGTTTCTGCATTATTGTTACAGGAGGAAGTTTTAGCCAAGTAATCACTTGCTATCTCTCTTCTCTGATAAAACAAAGCAATATGTCATTTAATCCCTTCAGAATAGAATTTGGCAAACGGTCTTATTGTGGATATCTTAAAAAATGCCTTAAGCATCTTTTGTAGTCTTGTAGATATCAGAGAATGTTCTGACTTTATCTTTCAAATGGTAATGGAGATATAATGCCGGATATCAAGTTCGATCACATTGTCTCTTTCAGTTGAGAACAATAGCGCAAGTCGATCTCAAAGAGATGCAAAGGATGCCACAAATGTTTCTAGTGACTTTCTCAATAATGTTATTGTTCTTATTCATATATAAAAGTCGACTTCTAATTTGCTAAATGATATAGCCTACAGGAAAAAATTAAGTAAAATAGCATATAGCAGTATATAAGAAAATTTAATTAATATTGAATATAGCATTCTGCTTTCAAGAGAAATTAATTAAAATTTCATATGAGTGTCAACAAGAAAAAAAAGCATATATCAGTATATAAGAAAAGAAATTGATATACAAGTTTATCAGTCTACATGAGAAAAACAAAATATATAAAATTTCATATGACTGTCAACAAGAAAAAAGGCATATAACAGGCTATAAGAAAAGAAATGCATATAACAATCTACAAGAAAAATGAAATAAATTGCTTATAGCAGTCTACAATGAAAAAACTGAAACTGCATATAGCAGTCTACAACAAAAGTCAACGAAAATTGCATATAATAGACTACAAGAAAAAAAAAATTAAAATTGCAGAAAGCAGTCTGCAAAGAAAAGCAACTAAAATTTCTTATAGCAGTCTACAAGAAAAAAAAATGAAACTGCAAAGAAGTTTACAAGAAAAAATTGCATTTAACTGACTGCAAGAAAAAATTTACTTATTGCAGTCTACAAGAAAAATCAGTTAATACCACATATTGTATTTTGCAAACAAATTCACCTAAAACTGCATACAAAATCAATCAATCTGCTGTATTAATTCAATTTTCATGTGGGCTTTTATATGAAATTTTAATTTATTTTTCATGTAAACTGCTATATGCATTTTCTACCTGCATGTGGATTAGAAATGAATTCAGTAAAGAGAGGAAAATAGAAATGGGCATAAGACAAGAATGTATTTTCTTGCTAGACTTACACAACCTTTATATTGAAACATTCCTGAGAGAACTAGAGGTCATACCAGGATTTATTATTGGTGGGCATAATTTTACCAACATAACATATGCAAATGATACGATATTGATAGCAGACAAAAAAAAATTATTCCCAGCATAATTTCTGGATTATTCTAATATCTTTCCCAAGTAAATTAAGCTTACCTCGCAGTTGAAATAGTTCTTTATGTAATTTCAGCTGAATTTTCTTGCTAACTGCTATGCACAATTAAAATATAGATGAATTTTCTTGCACCTTGCTTTTTGCAATTTCGGTTGAATTTTCTTGCAGACTACTAATGCAGTTTTATCTTATTTTTTTCTTGCATACTACTATATGCAGTATGGCTTTTTTTTGCAGACTACTACATGCAGTATGGCTTTTTCTTGCAGACTACTATATACAGTATGGCTTTTTCTTGTAGACAACTATATGCAGTAAGGGTTTTTCTTGCAGACTACTATATACAGTACTGATTTTTCTTGTAGACTGCTGTATGCATTAAAATTCATGTTTAGGATTATTTTTTTTCATATTATTATCTCTTCTTTTCTCTATTTATTCCCATTTTCCATTTTTAATATCATAAAAAGAGTTTTTCATCCCATCTTCTTCTATTGTATCTTTCTCATTTTTCTCTTCTACCTCTTATGCTTAAAACTTATTCTTTTTACTCTGAATTATTCTGTCTTTATTTCTTGTATGATAAAAAGAATTCTATTGTTTTTATTGGCATTTCTTTTCTCATCCAGAACTTTCATTCATTCCTAACTTCTAATACAAGATGATAAGCTTTGAAACAGACCTGTGAGATCAAAATGGTTCCATAAAACAAAGCCATTCTTATAATCTGACATGTAGAAGAAATGGAAGAAAAAATTTAAGAACAGGATTAATCCTATCATGCAAAAACTGTCAAGAATTTCTGATTGTCAAGAATTATGGCCATTCTATCTTCTTTGCCCATCGTCTGTCGACTTTCTTCATCTTTTCCTTCATTTCAAGCTTTTTCTTCTTGTTTTACTCACTTTTATTTTGTATTTGTCTTTCATATTTGATGATTGGGTCAGAGTATTGTAGCCAAAAAAGAAAAAAACATGAGAAAAAGAAAAAAAGGATATTTGTAAAAAAAAAAAAAAATTTCAAGTTTTTTAGGCCCAAATGATGGAGAGGTTTTGCAAATTAAATTTGAGATTTTCATTTAGAAATATTTAAAGAAGGAAAAAAAAAAATCAACTCAAAATAATCTTTTCTTTCTTTCTTCTTCACTCTCTATCTCTATTTCACTCTATCTCTCTCTCTCTATTCATCTCTCACTCTTTTTTATATACTATACTCTTGTTTTTCCTTTTTCTTCCTATTTCTTGCTCTGATGCTTGATCATTTGGTCAGAAGTTCATTTCGCCAAGAACTTTACAGCAACATTACACACACACACACGCACACACACACACATACATACATACATACATACATACATACATACATACATATACATACATATTTTTTTTTCAAAGTATTATTGAATTTATTTTTGATCTGACATTTTTATTACTTTGAATGTTATTATAGTAGATACTTTGTCTTTAAAATAATCTGGGTGTAGGAGATGTGTGTTACTTAAAAACAGAGAATAGAACCTCATTTCCTGTGACGTTCTTTCTGGCTAAGTGGTAAAGCACAGTAAATGAAATAGTGATTTCGGCTACAAAGGACTACACAGATTTGATCCTTGCAAGGGAATGCATTTTTTTTTTTTTTACTTATATTGTTTTTACAAAGATTTCTGGAATGCACAGATTGATAGACATAATACACATAATGTTTAGTAAATAAAAATAAGGTGTCTATTTCAAATACAAAGTATCCACGATAATAACATTTGAATATATATATATATTTGAATATATATGTATATATTTGTGTTCTATAAAATAACAACGTTAAACATAAAAAAAAATGTCTTTAATAAATAAATTGTTGGACCTTGTCCATTTCTTAATATATATTTGTGTGTGTGTATATATGTATATGTGTGTGTATGTGCATGTATATATGTGTGTATATGTACATGCGTATGTATGTATGTGTGTGCATGTATATCTACATATGTAGGTGTGTATGTATGAGTATGTGTGTGTATATATATATATATATATGTGTGTGTGTGTGTGTGTGTGTGTGTGTGGATATGTGAATATATGTATATATATGGATATGTATGTATGTGTACGGATATGTGTTTATGTGTATATTTATGGATACATAGAATATTATAAAAGAAGGACTTACAGTCCTGTTATTAGTGTTTTATCTCATTTTCTCATTTAATATTCTCCAATTGGAAGTGTGAGTTTAAAATTCTTTATAATATGGAGGAAATTTTTTTAAAATTGACAATTTAATTTAAATTGTAATATATTACCCTTTAATAATCATTCTTGATGATAAAATATTTAAATTGGAAAAATTTTTGATATTTAGGTAGGTGTTAATACATGAAGTTACCTGTGTATTTCGGCACATGGGTACCTGTATGAGTGATTGAACATGTAAAGGAATGTGTGTATTTGTGATATTTGCATGGGTGTGTATACAGTATATGACAGAGCAAGATCTTTAATATTACCTTTAAATATTACCCCATATAAACTTAACTAAAATTTAAGTAAAAGAGATTACCTATCTAGAAACAGTCACGAGTTAAATTCATGAACAAAATTCAAACAGATAGAGATGTCAATTTAATAATCAATAATAAAATTTTTTAAAGAGATTAAAAAAAGATTACTAGAAGTAAACTTATATTTTAAATAAAATTTTATTCTTTTAATGTACTTTCTATGAATATTTTTCTAATCGACTATTTCATAGAAAATCCCAAAATTTAAAAAAAATTTAAATCACTAACAAACATCAAATTAAATTATTTGTAGACAGTGTAGAGACATTCAAATTTATATCAAACATTATAATCTTTATGAAACCCCAAAATAATACTTTCAAAGTAAAATGAAATAACAGCATCTGTTTCTAGCCTTTTTTTTTTACAAAGAAAATTAGTGACACCTTCTCTCATAACTTCCTTCTCTCTTTTTCTCTCTATGGGTTTTTCTTCTCTACCCCTTTGATATCAATATATAACTTCCGTTAAGTTAACCGTTTAAATGTGTCAATATCTGCTAACTCACTCATGTCTTCTCTCTCCCACCTCACTTTGTTAATTTACATATGTTTAATACGGCACGTCAAAAATGTGTAAATTTTCTGATAATCCACAATAATCCTTTAAAAGGGCTGTGGTGAAATAATTTATTACATGGAACCTTAAAGTGGTCTGTTTTTATTTAAATTATTTGCTCTGGATTTACATAGAGCTCTCTGGATTTTATCCTCCTTAGGTTTACCCATACAAATTACCTAGTTTTTCATTATATATATATATATATATATATATATATATATATATATATAAAGCTGAAATTGTTGATTTCACTGTGCCAATAACTATTACACACACACACACACATTATATATATATATATATATAAAAGAAAGGTGTGCTATATTTATTGGATAAAGTGCTCAATATCAGAGATAGAGTGTATGTAAATAGTGAACATTGAAGTCAACACTCTCAGAGGCAATAGGCTGTTTCACCTCTGAGTGTTGACTTCAATGTTCACTTTCATATTTATTTATATATATATATATATATATATATATATATATATATATATATATATAAAGGAATAGTCATACTAAGAATATATCAGTAAATTTAATGTAATTAATAGCGAATACACTTTGCTAACAGATTTAGTAAACCATTAACTTACTAACCACTCATTGAATGATGCGATCTTTGTTTTTAAAAATTGTAAAATGGATTAGATGTTAATTTCATTTGAAAGAACTATTGATACAGGTACGAATATTATTTTTCACTTTCAGATAATTTCAGGTAAGTTCTGAGATAAAAATGTAATACAGGTCGAAAGATGTTTTTTTTAAAAGTGTGTTATTATTAACATTTAAAAGATTTTGGAGCCTGCAAAGTCACGATGCTAGTTTTATTTTGAATATTGTAATAGATATAAAACAAATAAACACATTCTGTTATATTCTGTGCTAATAGGAATATCACTGGAACAACACGGTGGATAACTAAATAAAGTTTACTGTAAAATTAGTTGTGAGTGCTGTTGTTTGGAAGCTCAAATAGTTCTTGAGTAAGTTGGAGTCGTACTCAACAGATTCCTGCAGGTCTCACATAGTCCATTGACTTTATAGGTACTTACTACACCCATGGAGGTGCCAGGTTATTCCATTACATCACATTCAATCTGTCAATATGTTTAACCAAGGCATCTATATTTAAGTAAAATTTTTGAACAATTGAAATACATCAAATGTATCTGTAATAATTTCTATCCTTTATTTGGGTCACCATTGACAATTCACATTAACATTTTTGTTATGTCTGAATGACTTATTAACTGCTTAGTCAACCAGTACTAACTGTGACCACTCTTTTAGAGTAAAGGTACAATTATATGTACCACAGGTTTGGCTGGTTACATTGTTTAACTGAGGTTGCTTTTAAATCTTTCATTTTGAAGAACTCACAAATCTAAGAGAAAAATCCAACAAAGTAAATAGGTATTTATACTATTTACATTTTGACTATTGACCTCATCATTTTGGCTGTTGCACCTCTGACCTTCATCAGGTGTATATTTTGACCAAATGACCAAACATTAGATTTATTTACGATTTTGTAATTTCTGTTTGGATTTATGGAATGTGGAGTTATCATCACTTACATGCGGACTACTGTCCTCATCTTTGTTGTTGTGACAACATTTCAACCATTGTGCCCCATGGCCATCATGTTGATCCAGGTAACCCACAGGTAATTTCAAACTGAAACTTTTATCTACTCTAAAGGAGTAGTCATTGCACTGCTCATATCTAGGGATTCACAGATCAATTTTTTAATATTGCCATTAAATTCATTAAGGAAGGTGCCGTAGTTTTTCTTATTCCTTTTATTTTTCCAAGTAGATGATCTAGATTGAAAGAACTTGGGAAAATAATAGGAATGAGAAAAACTAAAGCACCTTCCTTAATGAGTTTAATAAAATCATCAAGAAATTGATTTGTGAATTTGAAAGGATTAAAATAAAAATAAATAGGCATAATCTGTCTAGATTATTCAACCAAACATGCTTAAATGAAGGTATGCTACTTCTCTCTCTCTCATTACATATATATATATATTTTAAGACATTTTTATGTTTATACATTCTTTTTATAGATACAAATATTTAAGTAAGTGCTCTGTTTTATGATAAACAGTATTAAACAACATTTACCAGCCTGAATGGCAGAGAAATTTTCATAGAAAATTTTTGTCCTCCAATATTCTGGCTGGTAAATGTTGTTTAATACTGTTTATTATATATATATATATGTAGGAGGCACGGTGGAGTAATGGATAGCAGCTTGGATTGAGGAATTGGAGAGCCGAGTTCGAATTCCAGTCGAATCCATTACATTCACTTACGTGCTAATACCCTTGGGAAAGGTATGAATCCTCTTACTCTCCCTCCAGCTATGGGTAAAATAGCAGGACAGACTGGGTTCTATAGCCTTGGATGGCAACTAGTCTAGGAGAAGGACAACTCTGAATTCAAAACCTACGGAGGGTCGTTTGGGAACCTTGTGGCATTCGGTGCACCAGGTCTCTGTATTCGTCCCTTCAAAAAGTGTGGATGGTCCTGCCCGAGGCAGTATAATCAAATCTCATGTGCTGGTGTCGGGCTGTCAGTTTCCTGGAAACTGATCTGCTTGACCCTCATATGTCGAATCTCGATGGGAGAGTCGATTATATATATGTAATGAAATGGATTAAGTCTGACAATTATTTAATATATTTTCTGTTTACATGTTATTTTCATAGATACAAATTATCGAAGTAAATACTCTGTCTTTTAATTAAACAGCATGACATTTACCAGCCTGAATGTTTGAGAAATTTCATAGAAAATATGTGTTCTCTGGCAGGAATCTCAATCGATCATATCGGCTCATGAAACATATCTTAATGTAAACAATGACAACATATAATGAAATAGATTAAGCTCGACAATTATTTAATATATTTTCTGTTTATACATTATATATATATATATATATATATATATATATATATATATATATATATAAAAAAACAAAAAACAAAATGTATCAGTAAAACCAACACAAAGCCTGCCAGATGACCAAAGAAAAAATAAAATGAAAAACCAACAAGCAATAAAACAAAATCCAAGAGAAAAACCGATAAAAGAAAAAGGAGAAGAGAAGGAAATATAAACTCAGAAGAAAAGACCAAAAGACAGACATCTACCTGAATGGTAATATCAGGATTGAATTAAGAACAATAGGGGTCCTAAGCACTTAAAAGATTCTGGGTCCCCCATACATCTGCGAGTTAAATATGCTAGTATGGAGTCTTGGCGAGTAGTGCAAATAAAAGATATCAACCATGCTACGTGGAAACACTAGCTGGAAATAAATATAGAAGGAACTGAAGGCACATATGACATTTGAGAGAGGCTGATGCTTCAGTTCCAACCCAAAACAACATCAACCAAGAAAGAACCAATCACAGCTGAGCAGCCACTGTCACATGAGCCACAATCAGATTCTAACAGAACTGTGACCAGAAGTGGTTGTGTCATCAACAAATCAGCATGTCACATAAACATATGGTTAAAATAATGTCAAACAAACATGAGGAGTGTAAGTCTACCCCTGTTCACAAAAATTAAATCCCATTAAGTTAATTAGTAATACTAACTTATTCAAGAGATCTGATGTGATGTATTGAGTAAATAAAAACCTGATTATCTCCCTTAGCTCATTCCTTTATTAACCAATCAGAATGACAATAAAGATTCACTGCAGGTCAGTTGTCTTTTTGTTGATTCAAATGTTAATCATGTTTGACTTATTTCTTTAGACATATACAGCAATATCATATCATTACAATTTCAGTGGGTCCCTCATCTCTTGATGCCCTAAACACATGCTTATTTTGCTTAATGTTAAATCCGGCCCTGGGTAATATACAGTGCTCTATGGTGAAATGACCAAGATTGATTGATTTATTTTTTGTGGTTTATCTACCAATATTTTTTAGATTTTAAGAAATTTTTGGAGATAATAAGGATTTACTGATACAATTTCTACTAATTAACCCATAGTTGTGGGGTGGAGAGGTGGATTCATACCTTTCCCAATAGTATTTGAACATAAGTGAATATAATGAACCTGGCTGGAATTGGAACTTGGCTCAATAAATTCAAATTCTGAGCCATTACACCACCCACACATCCAAGCTTACAGCACCTGGTATTCCCAAGCAGTTACCCATCTAGGTATTGACCAGGCTCAATATGGGTTGACTTCAGTGATTTTATGAAAACCAGTGTTTTGACATGATATGACCATAATCCAAATCACCAAAACAGATATATATATATATATATATATATATATATATATATATATATATATATATATAGAGTGTAACAGCAAAATTGTCCAATTGATAGATTAAAATTTGAACCATTGTATCTTAGAAATGATTAAAGATATCTTACTGGAATTGGAATTGTACTTTGAGCAATAAGAAGGTATAATTACTCTCCAAGCTTCACAGATTCTAATGAAAATGATATGATCATCATTAATTAATCATAGCTACAGATCAGAAACTCATGAAGGATTTAAATAAAGTTCAAATATATATATTATTCTACGATCATTTTCCAACTTATTCAAGAATATAGAGAGCCATAATTGTCTACATCCTGAATGAACATGGCATTAAAAGAGAGGAAAAAATATATTTTTAACTAAAGCAATAAATACATTGAAGATCTAAACTGAACATGGTCTTATTATTGAAAATCTGCCACAAAGTCTCCAAATAACCCTCCTTATGCCTAAATTCAGAATTTTCTTTCCAAACTGGCTACCACCCAAAAAAAGAAGGACCAGTCATTAACATTAAAGGTTTTGTTTGGACAATTCATCTTGTTTTATAGGAATAAAGTGTCGCTGCTGACACTTGAGTTTGAACTGAATCTCACCAGAATCTATCGTAATATAGATTCCTTGTGCTTTTTCTATAAATACTTTCATGGTAATTGTTCTGATGAACTTTCCTCTATGGTACCTAGATATTATAAATTTAAGCACAGTATTAGACTGGTGGCAAGGTCTCCTCATTTGATAATTGAAATGGCTAGATGTAACCACAAGTTCTATCTTTTCTTGTACTTCACAATTGTGGAACTTTTCCAGCTTCTTGCTTACCAGTCAACTTTGATTTTCAAAAATTTTAATACAATGTCAATTGTTATCTTCTGTCTTCTTAATTCCAGGCTTGTATTTCACTAAGTCGGTCCTAAAATAGGTTCGACGTACAAAATGTTAGGAACTTGATATAATAGGTAATGATGCAGAGAAGTCTAGTGGTGGTCGCTGATACTTTAATATCTGACTAACAGTCATCTGACATCGACTCTGACCAACTCACTGAGCGACTTCGCAACTTCTACTACTCCTACTTATTATAGGTGGGAGAGTCTATTAACTATAGAATAGGTGTGTTCCACTATAACAACTCTCATATTCTGCCACACTCAGTAACCCCCTTAGTGGCTTTATTGCTTTGATTGGGGTGAATTGATAAAAAATAAAAATAAAAAAATGATTTGTGCATAAATATATATTAGGTAAATGAATGACAAAGTGGAAGAAATTGTAACATGTTTCATCCTTAAGAAAGACTTCATCAGACTAAGGTAATGTTTTTTATGGCATTATATATGCTTAAGGGAGGGAGGAGGGTAGATAGAAAAAAAATCAAGTGTCAGTTATAATTATGCACCAACAGGAAATGGTGAAAATATTGGAAAGCATAAATTTAAAAATTTTCTGCTTTTCAGAGGCACCTAGGCATGTATTGAGATTTCATTCAGTTTCCTTATGTTTTTGTTTTTATTACTTCCATTATTATTTGGAAAGTACCTGAAAACCATATTCTGGGTTGACCCAAGCCTTGTGAGTGAAATTGGGTAGAGGGAATCCTTGGGGCTCATTGATAGCTGTGCTAGCATGAAGTTACAAGTCATCATGGCCGAGGGCTTCAGCATGCTGGCTCTGTTCAAATTGTTGATCATGCTAGATAACACTCTCTAAGGTCTGCACACCATAGTTGCAGTATAAACCACAGGTGGGCTCTGTGAGTGTTGAATAAACACAAATATGCCTGAGCAAGTGTCTGCAACAGGGATTGGCTAGCCACCCTACTAGACAGGTATCCTTGAAATACACATAGACAACTACAGCCTGTATAGGGATGACGGGCTAATGAAACTGCTAGACAACAGAAGAGTAAATGACAATATAAGAAAAATGCTCTTCAAACTCTTCAAAAGTCTAGAATTTGAAATAGAGGTTGATATAAATAAGAAGGTTGTCCAATATTTGAAGAATAATTCAAGGAAAAAAAAAATTTGGTTTAACCCCCCGTCTTTTAATTTTGAGGTCAAATGTAAAATAGAGAAAATATTTTTCAAACTGTTTAATAAGCACTTTGCCAAAAATTCTGAATTACACAAGGACTTTAATAAAAATACAGTTCAATTAAGCTACAGCAGTACTACTAATTTGGAAATCATAACAAAAAGACAAAATGCCAGGAATTTCAAAGATAATGAGCAGCAAGATATCATTAACAGTGAAACATGTAACTGTAGAAATAAAGGTAAATGTCAATGAGATGGAGTTTGCAAAATGGAAGGTATAATTTATAAAGACAAAGTAAAAGATACAAATGGCCAGAGCAAAACATATATGGGGTGTACTGAAGAGAGCTTCAAGAAGAGATGGTATAATCACAAGTCATTATTCAAGCTAGAAAGCCTTAGGAATTCTCCCAGACTAGCCAGCTATGGGTGGAAATTTAAAGAAAAAAATAACAAAGATCTGATTGTAATGTGGAAAATATTAAAAAAAGGCAAACCTTACAACAACGACAGTGATATCTGCAATCTTGCCAGGAAGAAAAGTTAACAATAATAACATTTTCAGACCAGGAAAACCTTCTGAATAAAATAATGACATGGTGCATATGCACAAAAGTTCCTTTTGAGTTCATATGAACCAGGATGAAAGTATGTACATTTCATATAACCCCCACTCTTATACAATTTCAATATCCTTGCTTTTCTCCATCCCCTTCTATTATATATATAAGTTATTGGCTAGAGTTGAATTAGATCAGGAAACAGCAGTATTAAAAGGTACTCAATACACATACAAATAAAATGAAACAAAAATTTAATATGCAGATTTAAATGTCCACTAGATGGAGATGGCAAAATGGAAAGAGGAATTTACAAAGCTGAAGTAAAAGATACAAATGGCTAGAGCAAAATATACATGGGGTGTACTGAAGGGAGCTTCAAGAAGAGATGGTATAATCACAAGACATCATTCAAACGAGAAAGCCTTAGGAATTCTCCCAAACTAGCCAGCTATGTGTAGGAATTTAAAGAAAAAATAATGAAGATCTGGTTGTAAATGGGAAAATATTAAAAAAAAAAGCCAAGCCTTACAGCAATCATAATGATACCTACAAACTGCCAGGAGGAAAAGTTAACAATAATAACATTTCAAGACTAAAAAAAAATCTACTGAATGAAATATCAGAAATAATGATATGATGCAGACAGACTAAAAGGTTACTTAAGTTCGTATGAACCAGGATGAAATTATGTACATTTTTATTTAATCCCCCTCTAATACAATTTCAACACTTTTGCTTTTCTCATCTCCTTGTATTACACTTCATATTGTGCATTTATTTATATATAATAAAGTGTTAGGAAATCATTTGATCAATATCACCTGAAGATACCGAAAAGTCGAAACCAAGGTAGGGTGATTGGCTGATCAAATTCTTTAAAGTATATATATATATATATATATATATTTAAAAATCAAGAGACCAGTTGAATCCGCTATCTTGGTTTCAACCTTAAGGTATTCTCAGGTGATTTTTATCAAATGACCTCTTAACGCTTTATTTTTTTTTTTTTTTTTTAAACATAATGAATGCTATATTATTTTTTTTAAAATAAATAAACAAATGACTGATGTTGGGTGTAATAGAAAAGGCGGAGAAGAATATGAAGAAGGAAGAAGAAGTTTGAAGAAAAGAAAAGCAAGAGTATTATAAAAAGGATCGATTGATTAATGGAAATGGAAATTTATTTTTTTTATCCAGCCTCATATGTGCATGAGAGGAATTTCTTAATATGTATACAAGGACTCAAAACTTCAGATTCTGGTTCAAAAGTTTCTTTGGATTGGATTTGGAAATGCCATTATTGCTAATTTTTCCTGTTGGCAGAGGTTGCAAATATTGTTGCAGTTGTTATAAGGCTTTTGCCATTTTTTAAATTTTCCAGTTTACAATCGGATCCCTGCTATTTTTTCTTCTAAATTCTACACATAGTCAGCTAGTTTGGTAGAGCACCTAAGACTTACTAGCTTGAATGATGACCTATGAAGGTACTTTCAAATGTAGATGGTACAATCATAGGTCGTCATTCAAGCTAGTAAGTCTTTTAACGTTTGAAAGTACCTTAACTACATCCTATATATGTTTTATTTTGGTCATTAGTATCTATTACTTCAGCTTTATAGATTATTGGTTCTGTTTTACAAGCTCCATCTAATGGACATCTATTCATATTTCTACAGTTGCATAGATTATTAGTGTTAATTATATTTTGCTGTGTGTTAGTTTTGAAATTTTGGTGTTTTGTCTATTATTGTTTCTAAATTACTAGTGCAGCTGTAGCTTGATTTAACTGTATTTTTTATTGAATATCTTATGTAATTCTGAATTTTTTGGGAAGTGTTTAGTAAGTAGCTTGAAAAATAATTTTTTAATCAAATCAAATTTTTTTGAATGGGGACTTTTCATGGACTATTTCCTTTTAAATTTCCGCCATGAATTTTCAATTGGATTTAGATCCAGACTATTCATTGACCATGTCATTGATTTTATATGCCATTCCTGAAGAAAAGCTTTCATCTCCTTTGCTTTGTGACCAGATGCATTATTGTCCTGAAAAATGGCTTCATTATCACCAAACCAATTTTCTATGGATGGAATGAGAAAATTATCAAGAAATTTATTAGATATATAAATATTGGTATATTTTTTACAAACCATGATGAAGAAAATATTACAGAATAACCCAATAATAAGGAAAGAATTATGGAATGTAACAACAAAAGAATATTGAATTAATACCTAGTTGTCCATCCTTGACTTTTTATGACAGCCTTAATTCTTTTCATGACATGGATTTCTCTAATTTAAAGCAATATTCTTTATCTAAGTGGTTTCAACTTTCTTAAATAGC